GAGGCTTTATCTCCCTCTTGCGAGTCAGAACCCTGGGGGAGGTCTCCAGGCAGGGTTTCAGCAGAACAGTCATCAGTTTTCCTGGTGAGCCCTTTCAGAGTCCTGGTCGCCACTGACTGGTCAGTGGAAAGGCAGGGGATCCTTAGTCACTGTGGCCACCCACCTGGTTTTGCTGCTTTTCTGGGTCTGGAGCTGAAATACACCCGGATGTTATCTCCAGGGAGAGGAGCTTCTACGTCTGGCTGTAAATTGCTTGACCAGTTTGTTTAGCTATCTGCCTCAGTTTCCCTGCTCCACATGTGCTGGCTTACTGGCCTGTCTCTGTCGGATGTTGCCGTAAACACCTTTTTAAAGAGCACGGTAGTAAGAAGAAGTGGTGCGACAGGACCTTGAAAAACCCGAGACAAAAGGATGTGTCCCGGTAGGGGGCAGGGGGCGGCTCAGCGGACTCGCGCTGACTGGACACGGGGCTGGCGTCTGTGACAAGGACACGGATTCTATGAAGGTGAGAGGGATGAGTGGGAACAAATCTAATCAGCATTTTAAGTTGCATTATAGGAAACAGTGCCTGGCAGCTGAACTAAATTCAACGTTGCTGTAATTGGACGCGGGACCTGAGGAGTCCGCCCCTGCCGGTTGGGCAGAAGAACTGGTTTGGATCTTCCCTCGGATGGATGTGACACCTGGGACTGCCTGTCTTAGCCAGGTGTGGAGTGCATATTGTCCTATGACTCATACATCAGAAGACCACCTTCCAGGCTGGAAGTGTCATTACCAATAAAAAAGTCTAAAGTCTCAACTGATATTCGCTTAGTCTTCAAAGAGTCATTGTACTAATCACCCTCCAACGGCAGAACCAGGAACAGTTCTGAGATAACAGTTGGCAAGACAGTGGCCTTGCCCTGGCCGGGTGGCTCAGTGGGTTGGAGCCTTGTCCCCATGCACCAAAAGCTCGCAGGTTTGCTCCCTGGTCATGGCCCAAATCTGGGTTACAGTCTCAATTCCAGTCAGGGCCCCTGTGGGAGGCAACCAACCAATGTTTCTCTCTGTCTCTCTTTGTCCCTCCTGTTCTCTCTAAAAAACAAACAAACAAACAAACAAACGAAAAGAAAAATCATAAACACATCCTTGGGTGAGGATTTAAAAAAAAAAAAGGCGAGCACCTTTAGGTGCTCCCTGGCTGCAGAGTGGCCCTGACTCACGCCCAACACACCTTCCACTGCCCCCACCTCCGTCCTGTCTCTTTCCTCACACATGCGCCCAAGTGTTTTTCAAAACGTGCCCCAGCAAAATTTGCCACTCCCCACAAAGCGCTTAGCACAGTGGAATCCCCCCCACCCCGTGTAATTTGCATAGATTTCCTGCACCCGGAACAAAAAGAGAAAGAAACCCTGCAATGCTGTGCCCAGTCCCCTGCTGCGAACATGGTGAAGACAGGGCTCAGGAGCAGACCGGGCCCAGGAGTGTGCATGCTGTCACCTGGGGGGGAGTGGGGACATGTCGGTGCCCCTGAGCTCACGGGCCGCTCAAGGACTTTACAGGGTAGAGACAACTGACTCGAGAACCTAACCAATGAAGGTCCCATGTGGGAATTCAACTCTATTAGAAACTATATTTCCCCCACTTGGAGTGACAGAGCCCCAACAGACCATGGTCCCTACACCTCGGGACTTCAACACCTGCCTTAATGGAGCTTCCACAGGTGGGGTGGGGTAGGCTGTAAGACAGCAGAAGGTCATGTATACAGTGCATCAACCGGCGCAGCTCGGCTGGGCATCCTCCCAGAAAGCGAAAGGTTGCCAGTTTGATTCCCAGCCAGGGCACACGCCTGGGTTGCACGTTTGGTTCCTCTTTTGGTGCGTAGGAGAGCCAACCGATTGATGTTTCCATCCCTGTCTCTCTCACTCCCTTCCCCTCTCTCTAAAAATATTATAAATAAATAAAGCCTTTTAAATATATATACACCCATAAATATACATACACAGTGCGTCAGATAGGGATGCTGCGGGGCGGGGAGCAGGAAGAGGGGCTGTGGGCTCCTGCTCGAGGTAGGGAAGGTTTGTCTGAGCAGGGAAGGTTGGGGCAAAGAGGAGCCGGGGGTGAGGGGCAAGCCCTGTGCACAGCTGTGGGAAGGCCCAGGCAAAGAGGGGCTAAGCGCACAGGCGGGAGTGCACCCACCCAGCCCAGGGTCTGGGCGCAGTGGGTACCGGGCAAGTGTGAGGAGCTGAGGGCAGGGGAGAGGCTCAGCGGGTGGCCGGGACAGACGGGCGAGCACCTTTACTCCGAGCGAGAGGAGGGCCTGAGAAATCGCCCTCCCACGGCTCTCCACACCCTGCACTGTGCCATCCTCGTCCTCATCGTGTTCCCCAAACAGCACCTCTGTGTGCTATAAATGTTCATTGTTACCCGTCCTGTACCCACCAATATAAAAGAAGGATGTGTCTCTCCATTTTAGTTTTTATCCAATCAGAGAGTTCCCCGCTCTGCTTTCCCCTCCCCCACCCACTTAATCCACCATCAGTGGATTTCCTGTAACCCTCCTTATGTCTTCTCCTTTTGATGGGGGATTCAAATGTAGGGAAATTTTTAGTTTAAATAATAGCGAATAAGCTTAGTCATCCATGCATGTAAAAGGTATTGTTCTGGGAAGTGAAGGTGTGACCCCCCTGACTCCAGGAGACCAGAAGCAGTTCCACCTGTGTGCCTTGGGAGGGACTGCGAGAGCCTCAGGATGGAACTGGAGCCACTGTGCTCCAGGGTGAGATGACCCAGGGTGAGAACGCTGCAGGGTTTCTAATCCAATTAATTTTCCCCTGAATTCCAAACCCCTTACCTACACTTTGTCCTCCTTATAAAAAGGGCCGCTTTGAAATGGACTTTAAGACGGTCTGTTCTCGCCATCTCTGGTGGTTTACAGAGATGACGGTTTATGCGCCATCTCTGAGGCTGGGAAAAAAGTAAAATGAAGAGGCAGATACTTCCTTGACATTGGCGAGTACAGGATGGGCACGGTTAGCAACTGCAGTTGACACGGCAACAGTAGTGTGAGGGCTTCTCTGGTGTCCGGTCTGCAGCCGTAACTCTGCCCAGAGGGGACTGGAAAAGGGAAGCTCTGACCTTCCCGAAACACATCATCCGAGATGCCAAAGGACAATTAAGGTAACAGGGACCTTCTCCAGGGAAGATACCGCCCTAGGACATGACGACCCACCATGACTCACTTTTGGTTAAGAAGTTTTCATTTCAGGCCCTCCTGTGAGGTGACTTTCAGTTTCGGAGTTTGTGGGCCCCACCACGCGGGCCTCCCCTGGGCTTGTCCCTTAGGTGCCATACCTGGCGCGTTTTTCATCCACGTCACAAAGAACAAACTGCTGGCTGCCAGAGGGGAAGAGGGGATGGGTGGAAAAGGTGGAAGCGAGTGAGAGGCACAAACTTCCAGTGATAAAATAAACAGGCCACGGGCCTGCAATGTCCAGCACGGGGAACACGTCAGTAACAACATAACAGCTTCACACGCCAACAGGTGATCACTAGACTCACCCCAGGGATCACCTTGTAAGGTGCAGGAGTGTCAAACGCTACGTTGTACGCCTGAAACTAATATACTTTAACGAAAACATTTCAAATAAAGTCAATGTTCTTTGTTAAAAAAGAAAAAAAAAGTTATCTGGCCACTGTCCTGCGGACATCGGAGACTGGGTGTGGCTTCCATTTCTGATGGCAGGGTAGGAGTCAGCCGTGATTTCACTTCCTTTTCTGGGCTTTGGGAAGACGGGAGGGGAACAACCGCCCGGAGCCAGGCTGTACTCAGAGTGGACGGGGCTGGACACGTGGGCGGGGGCTGGTGGGAGACGGGGAAGTGGAAGTGACCGCTATGGCAGCCAGCCACCTCTCGGGGAAGACAGGCAGGTAGCTGTTGTCTGCGGTGGGTTCCCCCCCACCCCCGGTGTTCTCCTGCTTGCTCGGCTGCAGAGCATGGAGGAGTAGAGTTCTGCCCCAACCCCACATCCCACCCCCTTTCCGCCACCACGGCACCACAGGGAGAGTGGGGATGGAATCCTCGCTGCTCCTCGGGAGAAGAACCTGAGATTGAGCTGCACGCAGGTCCTCGCCCTGTATGAAACTCTCTATGGCTCCCTCCTGCCCACGGCAGTAGTTCCCAAGCAGGGGTGCTCTGCAGGGTCACACTGGGGCTGTCACAGCCTCGGGACACCTGTCGTACTTGCTGCCACTTGTTGAGCAACTATATCGATAAACAGCTTTTTCACCATATCACTTATTGCCAAATAACCCATTTAACCATCACCACAGGTTTTTATGATCCCCTATTTTACAAATGAGAAAAAGAAGGTGAGAGACTCGACCCTAATAGCGAAGGGTCACCAGCTATCAATCCGTGAAACTGGAGTTTGAACCAAGGAAGCCACACTCTGAAACCCCGCCCCTACTCCACGGTTCCCAGCCTCCTTCTCTCCCCTCCCCCTCCTCTCTCTGTCTCCCAACTTCTCTCCCCCCTCCTCTTCTTCCCACTCCACTTTCTGCCTCCCTTTCTTTCCCTCCATCTCTCCACCTCCTCACCCGCTAGGTTCCTACATCAGATCCTTGGGGATAAAGCTTCACACCTGAAATTGTAAAAGCTTCAGTTCACTACCGTAGGTAGAATACAATGCCAGGCTCCTACTCGGCTGCCAAGAGTGCTGGGTAACACTTGGTGACAGCCTCTGAAACCACAAATGTGCATGGCCTGGGACTCAGCTTCAAGGAACGAGTGGAACTGATGCTGTCACACACGTGGGAAACGGCAGGAGCACAGATCCTCAGGGCAGCGCGCTCTGTAAGGGCAAAGGTCAGAAACACCTTAAGCGCCTGTCCACTGGGGGCGGGTTCAAAATGCAGGGCGTGTTCATGGAACAGCACACAGCTGTGAGGGAGTGAGTGAATGAGGCACTTGCTACATCCTTTTCTGGCAAGATCATGAAGCAAAGTGAAAAGCAGAAAGAGACAGAACAATGCCACTGTTTATTCTTCTACATTGGGATGGAAGAGTAAGGAAGTTGCATTCAGCAGGTGGAAACCCATGGCCAGACTCCAAGGAACTTCAACAGTTCCATTGGAGATATTCACTTGCTTATTTATTCTTTCGGTAGATACGTCAGCCCTTGAGTGAAGACCAGAGTCTAGAACCGGCCCGACCCTTGAACAGTTTAGAGCTGTGCCTGGAAGACACAGAGAAACAAGCGGATGTGTCGTGTCCCAAACCAAACTTGCTCTTCTTTCCACACCTGCTGCTGCTGCTGCCCTGTCACCCCCATGTCCCTCAAAAGGACCACCCTCTTCCCGAGGTCCAGAGCCTGAGGTCCTGGGTGAGAAAGAGGCAACTCCATACCCCACCCCCAGGCTGTAAGCAACGTCCTGGGTCTCCCCCGTCAAAGCACAGTGAAATCCAACCACCTCTCACCCTCGCCCCCCCCCCCGCCACCGCCACCCTGAAATGAGCCTCCCTCCGAGGCCAGACACCATGGCAGTCGCTTCCCAGCTGACGTCAACCCTCCCCCTCCCCACCCCCAGTCTGTTCCCCACGGAGGGATCCTGTTAAAACACAAGTCCAATCACACCCTCAGCACAAAACTCTCTCAGGTCTCATCATCTCCACGAATCGTAAACATCTCTTCACGGCCTACAAGGCCCAGGAATGTTTGGCCCCTTCATATCGCCTCCAACTATTCCTTGCACTCTCCACCGCTCTTTCTATTGTAGCCACGCTGGCCCCTTTGCTGGTCCCCAGTCATCACACAGGTTTCCGCCTCAGGGCCTTTGCACTTGCTCTTTGCTGTGCCTGAAACACCCCCGTCATTTGCGGAGCTGACTTCGTTTAGGTCTCTGCTTCCACTCATCACCTCGGAGCTAATTTTTCTATCTGCCAGCTTTCATTACATTTTGCTGTAATAAGAAACCACTCCCAAATCTTGGTGGTTTCCATCATTAATTTCTCACTCACATTACACATTGACCCCAGGCCAGCCGTGGCTCTCACACATTGTCTTCATCCTGGGATCCTGGCAGAAGGAGCAGCCCCACCTGGGACAGGGTGAGCGGAGGGAAAAAATCAGGCCACAGTTTTAAAACATCTGTTCAAAGTGTTACAGAACAACAAGGGGGGCCTGGGACGACATACTATTACCAAAAGGAACCCCCAGGTCCATTATGTCCGCCGTCTATAGGAAAGATGTCTCTCAATGTCAGAGATTCATGAAAAGGAAAGGAAATGTTTATTTAATGGTATACAAACTTAAAGTAATGACCTAATGTCTTCATCAAAATCCTAAAGTCCCTTAAAACACCCACAAGCACATATAGTCCTTCCTTTCCCCTTTGCTCAGTCTGGGGTACTGTATCTCAAGAAAAGAAACAGAAGTCCTTGGCTCAGGCAGCCCCCCCCCCCCAGCTCTTCTCAGTAATCCGTCTTGGCTGGGAGACCTCCCTGGGTTCCCGGCACCCTCAGCTGTGTCACCAAAATCTCTGCTAAAGCCAGGTGGTGGTTCCCCCTGATAATGCTGCAGGGGTCCCCACTCTGGCAGAGACACAAGGTTCTCCACTGCTCCAGCCACGTAGTCCTCTCTCCCAGGGCCACAGGAGTCCCCACTCAGCCAAAACCGCGTGCTTCTCTCTTCAATGGCTGCTGTGTCTGGGTTTAAATCCCCGCACCAATCTCCCTCTGCAGCCCCATTTCCAACTCCTCCCACACTCGACCACACTTGCCCTCAATCTCCGGTCCTTTCCAGCTTTTCTGGCTGCCTGGGTCTGGGCAGGTGTGGCCCCATGTCATGGAGCCAATCTTCTCCGAGCTCCCACGCAGGTGCAGGCGCTGTAACTCGGGGGACCTGCCCCCCAGTCACATCTTGGGCGGGTGGTGGGGGGAGTCCCTTTCCATGCCCTGGCCAAGAGCATAGCCACAGCTATTTAGCATATCTAAATGACCAGCCAAAGGCTATAGGTATGTTAAATGACTATGCCATGGATTAGCTGCAAAGCTGTTGCTGTACAAAACAGCCCTGCATGTTCTTGCTCTGTGTGTCCCTTCCCCCAACTCACACCTGTGGGGGAAGGGGTGAAGACATTTTAAAAATCTCCTGACACCTTGAGTTCTGGACCCTATTTCAAATGCCCATTTGGAGTCTCCCCTCTTGGCTGCAGCCTGTAACAAGAGCACTGACCGAGTAGCTCATTTGATTGGAGCATCGTCCTGATATGCCAAGGTTGTGGGTTCAGTCCCTCATCAGGGCACATACAAGAATCAACCATTGAATAGATAAATAAGTAGAACAATGAGACGTCTCTTTCTCCCTCTCTAAAATCAGTAATTTTTTAATTATTAAAAACAAGTAAAAAATAAAACATCTGCTCAGAACCAGGCCGCATTTTCCCCTCCAAATGCAACTCAAGGGCGACACCTCGTTCAAAGGCCCCCACCTGCTACAGGAAACCCTAATGCTGGGAGCTGGGAGTTTCTGACTTACGCCTTGGGGAGGGGACACTGGAGGGAGGGGACTCAAAGTGTTGGACAGCCGCAAAGGAGGGAATTTGAAGAAATTCTTCCTAGTCTCCTTACCCTGTCTTTTTTAAAAGATTTTATTTATTTGTTTTTAGAGATAGAGGAAGGGAGGGAGGAAAATAGGGAGAGAAACATCAATGTGTGAGAGAAAAATCCATCGCTGGCCTCTCACATGTATACCAACCAGAGACCAAGCCCACAACCCAGGCATGTGCCCTGACCGGGAATCGAACTGGCGACCTTTCGATTTGTGGAATAACATGCAACTGAGTGAGCCACGCCAATCAGGGCTCCTTGCCCGCTCTTATTTTTTTTCATGGCTTTTACCATCCCCCGGTATAGTACCCATCTACTTCTTTTTACCTTTCTCTCCCCAACTCCCATCCAGCAAGGGACCTCCAGGGGGTCAGGACTTCACTGCTGTTCTTCAGCATTGAGTACATAGTAGGGGCTCAATAAGTATATCTCAATCGAATGAATTCAAGGAGAAAAGGGCCATGGGCCCCAGTGGGGGATCCCAAGGAGCTATGGGAACCAGAGGAGAGTGGTTTCAGTAAGACCCCGGGACACCTCTCATGGACACCTCTCACAGCTGAGGGGTCGGCAGGGGCCAGGGGAGTGGCTGTCAGGGGAATCAGGCAGCTCCTTGGCTCAACCCAGCCGTTCCGACTGGCACTAGTCTCCCTTCCTCACATCCTCATCCAATTTCTTTTCCTTTAAAGATTTTATTTACTCATTTTTAGAGCAAGAGGGGAGGGAGAAAGAGAGAGAAACATTGATCATTTGGTTGCCTCTCCTCAGGCCCCCAGCCTGAAACCTGGTCCACAACCTAGGCACATGCCCTGACTGGGAATTGAACCAGCAACCTTGAGGTATGCAGGCCAGTGCTCAATCCACTGAGCTACACCAGCCAGGCCACATCCTCACCCAATTTCATCTAGACCTGACACAAGACATTTTATTGAATGCAGCAATTTTTAAAAGACTTTATTTATTTACTTTTAAGAGAGAGGAAAGGAGAGAGAAAGAGAGGAAGAGAAACATCAACGTGTGGTTGCGTTTGTTGCATTCCCCACTGGGGACCTGGCCCACTACCCAGGCATGTGCCCTGCCTGGGAATCGACCCAGCAACCTTGAGGTTCACAGGCCAGCGCTCAATCCACTGAGCCATACAAGCCAGGGCGAATCCAGCAATTTTGACAGCATGGATCCTTTGGCCTTCCCAACTATTTATTGACCGAACTTAACTTTTTTTTTTTTTGGCCCAGGAATACCAGCCACTGAAGGCCCTCCCTCTTCCACTGGCCCTCACCACATCCTAGCCCCATCCCTGAGACCCTGCCTCTCCTTGAGCCCCCCTCCGATTTCATCCCTGAACCTGACCCCATCCCCTGTCCCCAGCCCTGCATTGACCCCACTCTTGAGTTTCAGTGGCTGGCAGTCTGTATCACTGCCACTATGTGGAACTGTTCAGGACCAAGGCTCTGAGGGTTTGTTTTCAGAGAGAGGTTCTGTTCCTCTCACCAAGGAGTCACATAGATGCCCAAGGGGGAAGATCAGAGTATGGGGTGAGTTGGGCCCCCTAACTGGAGCCAGAATGTCAGCAGGGGCGGAGGAGAGACCACGGAGAGAAGGCTGCTGGAGCACCTGGCTGGGGAGTAGGAGAGCTTCCTGGGTGCTAACCCATGAATGGTCTGTTTCCCTCCCCGAGAGGGTGGGCTCCATAAAGGCAGGAATTTGGCGCTGTATTTATTTCTGGCACATCCCTGTACCCACAATACTGTCTAGCTCAATAACATAATTGTGTTTTGTGTTTTAGGTTTTTTTTTTATTGTGGTAAAATACACAGAATGTAAAATGTAACATCTTAAACATTTCAAGCACACAGCTCCCTGGTATTAAGCAGCTCTCACCACCATCCATCCCCAGAGCTCTTTTCATCTTCAAAACAGAAACTGTTTATCCATGAAACAAGAACTCCCCATTCCCCCCTCTCCCCAGTTCAATAAAGGCAGGTGAACTCTCACCAACATTAGTATTTGATGATAGCAGCAAGGTGACGATGATACTTGTCATTCTTAGAGCTGCCAGGAATCAGGCTAAGCAGTTGCTAAAGTCTTACATCACCCCTGTGAGGAAACCGAAGCCCCAAGAGGAGCAGCAACATGCCCTCGCCTGGCTCTCCAGTCCGGGGGCGCAGTGGAGTGGGGGAGGAGGTTAAACCGGTTGGCTAAGAACTCAGGGTCTGTCTCGATTGTAGATTTGAATCTCAGCTCTGTCACTTACCAGCAAAGAGCTGCAGAAAGTCCCTGACTCTCTAGGCAGGTCGCCTGCGCCTTCACCCTGTCCAGCGGGGATCCGCGTATCGGGAGCTCCCAGCGCCCACGACCCACGCCCCCGGAAACTGCTCTGCCTCCGCGCCCCGCCCCGCCGCACCCGCCCCGCCGTGCCCCTCCGCTCCCTGTCCAGCGCTGGCTAGGGGGGCCGGACGGACCCTGGGAACTTCTCGGCGGGGTTATCTCCGAAGTCCCTAGGATCGGCACGCGGAGCTATTCCCTGTATTCTCTCCCACCATGGCGGGAGCTGCGGGGCCGCCGCCGCTGCTGACGCTGCTGCTGTTGCTGCTGCTGCTGCTGCTGCCGCTGCCGCGGTCCGGTGAGTTCCCGCAGTCCGCGGGCGCTGCTCCTTCTGTCCCTCCCCACCTGCCCGGGCACTCAGTCCCCCTTCATTCCGAGGGTTGGTGGATCTTAGGGGCCAGGACTCTTCTCTTGGCTCCCAGAAAGCGCCGGTTTCCTGCTACGTAGGGCAGGTTTCTCATTCCTGTTAGAACAGTGACTCATTCTCCAGAAAACAGCGGAGGTCATTCATTGCCCTGCTCACCATGCCCAGACAGAGGTCTCATGGAGAACAAGGGGTCAGGGTCGGCCTCCTTCTAACCCCATGTCGGGCCGTAATGGCTTGGCCATTCATTCATTCTTCCCCCTCCCACCGCCCCCCCCCCATCCTCGAAGAGATGTCGTTATTGATGAGGGGGGAGGGGAAGCGGGCAGGAGAGAGAGAAAGAGAAACATCGATGTGAGAGAGAATCCCGACCAGAGATCAAATCTGCAACCCAGGCATGTGCCCTGACCAGGGATCGAACCCACAACCTTTTGGTGCATGGGATGACGCTCCAAACCACTGAGCCACCAGGCCAGGGCTAGGGATACAGCTCTGAAGTCAGACAGCCCTAGGTTCAAAACATCTTTAGGCTTTAATACCGGTGTGAGCTCAGGAAAATTACCTAAGCTCTCTGCTTCCATAAAATGTGTTGGGGTGGGGAATCCCACCTACCTGGTGAGCTCATGTCTAGGGAGGTGCTGAGCAAGAGTGTGTGCTCCAGACGAACAAATGGAAATGATCATTCATGAGAACAATAGTGATACTGAATCTAGACCCAGGGATGCTGGAGTCTCTCATCTCAGCATGTCTGAAAAATCGATTCATAGAACACCAGATGCTTCTCCCCAGAAAAGAGGGCGCCAAGGCTCGATGGGGAGACTGAGGCACAGAGAGGGGCAATAATTCGCCCAAGGCACGCGGCAGGAGGTAGCGGAGCCAATGAGTGTGAACTGAAACAGTGGCCAGAGACAGCTGTCCTAGGGTGGGAGAGCCCAGTGCCCTGGTGCCTGGGCACAGGCCAGACCAGGCCAGGGTCTGAACCCAGGCTCTGCCCCTTGTTTGCTGGTTAGCCCAGGCGTGTGGCTTGACCCTCAGAGGCTCACTTGCCCCCTCTGTCCAAGGTGATGAAAACTAGCACCTATCTCTTGGAGCCATGGACAGGTTTAGAAAAGGTCACACTTCAGGGAGCAGCTCAGTGCCTGGCTCCAGTGTGACGATGACACAGGAACACGCTGAAAGAAAGGCCACTTCACCCAATGTCATCCTCATGGCAGCCTTGTTAAGGAGGAGACCCTACCCTCTGGTGGAGGAAGTCACCAGAGAAGGAGACTCGCTTGTCCAGAGCTGCACAGCATGCCCGTGGCAGAGCTGGCATTCAAACCCAGGCCAGCATGCTCACCACGCCACAGTTCCCTGTGTCCAGACTGCACCCTCCCTCCGCACAGCCCCCGTCCACTACCTCCCGGCTTCCTCTTCCTCGTAATGATGATGATGATAACATTTGCCCTTCAGAGTGCTTGGCATTGCTAACCCTTCACATGGATTGCATCACCGAGTCCTCCCAGCAATCCTAAGTTTAGAGCACCTGCATTTTACCAGTGCGGAAACTGAGGCTCTGAGGGGTGAAACCACCCTAACAGAGGGCCACATCGAGTGAGTGGCAGGGCTGAGGTTCCAAGGACGGAACTCTTTCCCTTCCCACCTTCTCCATCACCCTTGTTACTATGAATGAGCATGCACAGCATTGTGTTTATTAGTGTCAGGAAGAGCTACCATGTGTTCAAGACCTAGTATGAGCTGGGGCCCCTAGCAGAAAGAGTTTCCTATGGAACCTGGAGGCTTAGAGGGGCTCTTGACTGCAGCTGGCCCAGGTTCAAATCCCACCTCTGCCACTTACCCTCTGTGTCTTCTGGAGCACATGGCTCTGTACGGAAGTGTCCCCATCTATAAAGTGGGGCTGACAGTGGTACTGGCCTCAAGGAGCTCTTGAAGGACTAAATGCCAAGAGATGCGTGAAGCACTCAGAACAGCCTCTGATCTGTGTAAATGACTCCTGAGCATTCACTGTTGTGAGTCCCATTTCACAAACTAGGGAAAAGAATCAGAGAGGTCAAGTAACCTGCCTGAAGCGTCACAGCAGAGATCAGAATAGATCCAGAAACCTTGGGCTATAATTACCTCCCTTTCTTATTCCAGGATCCCCTACAAACATTCTCCCAGGTCAGGTCCACACAGAGGAGGAGGAGGAGGAGGAGGAGGAGGAGTAATATACCACGTTTCTTATAGATTCTAAGACCTAGGGTTTCTTCCCCTTTTTACTCCTCTAAATCAGAGATGCTCTAAATATTGACACTGAGCCCCGCCGTAAATGCCAGCACCACTGGAAATTGCATCTTAAAATTGATGGCATGGGGTGATGAAAATGTCCCAGAACTAGGTAGCGGTGATGGTCACACAACACCGTGAATGTAATTAATGCCACTAACTGTACACCTTAGAATGGCTTAAACTGCAAATTTAATTTTTTAACCACTATCTTAAAAATCAGTGATGCTAGGATGGAGCAACTGTAGTAATAGAAAAAAATACGGTAGTAAAAGCCCAGTGAAGCAGCGCCCACCAGGTCGCAGACCCAACCCATCTGCTCTCCCTTTCGCCAGCGCCCGGATGGGGACCGGACCCCTGCAAACACACACACACACACACACACACACACACACACACACACGCGCGCGCCCGCGCACACTCCCGAGGGACTCTAGTCCCCAGGTGAGCGGCCATCTAGGCGCCCCTCCCCATCCAGACCCGGATGCCCAGGCCTGACTCCCACCCCCCTGCAACCCGTTTCCCCGCAGAGGCAAGCACCCAGTCCTTCGAGGTGCGGGTGCTCACCCAGGTGAAGGGCTTCCTGGGCCACAACGTGACGCTGCAGTGTAAGGTGCAGACACAGGAGGACGACCTGCAAGTGACGCTGGTGACGTGGCAGCGGCAGGACTCCACGGGGGTCCCCCGCACCGTGGCTGTCTTCCACCCGATCCAGGGCAGCAGCTTCCCCGAGAGCAGGCGGCTGGGGTTCGTGGCCGCCAGGCCCCGCGAGAAGCTGCGGGACGCGTCGCTGATGGTACTGGGACTGCAAGCAGGGGATGAGGCGAACTACACCTGCCACATCGCCACGTTCCCGCAGGGCAGCAAGAGCGCCCGCACCTGGCTCCGTGTGCTGGGTGAGCAGGGAGAAAGGGGACAAAAGGGTGGGTGGTTGGGTGGGAGTTGGAGGGGGCGGGAAAGCAGGGTGGAAAAGGCCCGGGAGGGAGTGATGCCCTCCGGAGCAGAGATCCTGTGGGGACAAAAGTAGGTGGGGCCTGGGAAGCGGAGGACCGGATTTGCAGGCCACGCTAGTGTCTCGGGCAAGTGGTTTCCGAGTGCTGTCCTCAGCAAGCTGTCCACAGGGTCCCGGGAGGTTACCCAGGTGACCCACTTAGAACAGAGGTCCCTGTGAGCCCCTGGTAGCTGCCAGCTGTTGTCACTCCCGAGTTCTAGGAAGGGGTCGTAGAAAGGCCTAGATGGAAGGAAAGGGGCGCGGATACCCAGCGGGGGAGCTGCTTTACCGGCGGGACCCGGGCGCCCTCTAGCGTCATGGACTCATTGGTTCACTCTCTTGAGCACCGGGAAGAAAAGGACAGGTCCTCCTTTCCCGGAAATGGAGTGAGAAGTCTCTGTGCCTCGGTGTCCTCTTCTGTGAAACGGATATGGCCATGAGGATGAATAAGACCTGACATTTATTTTCCAATTATGTGCCAGGGACCGTTCCCAGTTTTGCCAGAGTGACTCATGATGAGGCAGGCGCTTGGAGCAGGGCCAGCCACCCGGCACCCGAGCCAACGGCTCTGGTCATTTCAGCAAACCTGGGGCTTCAGGTCTTATGGTTTAGGATGAGGGCAAAGCAAAACCACCCATGAGTCAAATTAAAGAGAAACCTTCAGTAAGTAATAACCCCAGGGAAGGATGAGGAAGGAACCGAGTGAAGCCCCAGGTTTGGGAATCACCAGAATGATGATTAAGAGACACACCTAGAGTTCAAGGCCTGTCCTGTCACTCGCTGCCTCCAGCCAGGAGCTCCCCCTCTTTATCGCAGAAGCACAGCCCTGCCCTCCTCTCCTCCACAAAGCCCTCCATGGCCACCCCCACCCGGGCCCCCCTCTGAGCTCCCCTGTCTCAGACTCACCCAAGGCGGGTCATCACTGCCTGAGGGAGTGTCTGTCTTCCCCTTGAGCTGGACAACCCATGGAGGCAAGGGTGGGGCTGTCTCAGTCGTTGCTGGGTCCCCAACACTGCCCATCCCAGGACCAGGCCATGTCTTCAGTGACCAATAATAATAACAACATTTATCGAGCACTTATGTGCCCATACCACTTTAAGAGCTTTGCATGTGTATTCTCATTGCCTGTGGTCCTGTCTTTAGCCCCAGTTGACAGACAAGGAAACTGAGGCACAGGCTTGCCCAAGGCCCCCCAAGTGCTCAGGGCCAGAGCTGGGATTTGAACCTGGCTGTCCTACATCCTCAGTTAAGCCACCTCCCTCTGCTGCCCACATGTTTGTCATTAATCAATGATGGCAGGTGAGGAGTGACCTGTCCCCTTTTGCTCCTCTCCCCAGCCAAGCCCCAGAACAAGGCTGAGATCCAGGAGATCCCGCTCCGCCTGCTCAGCCAGGAGCCCGTGCCTGTGGCCTGCTGCGTATCCACGGCAGGCCGCCCACCCGCGCGAATCTCCTGGTCCTCGGGTGGGGAGGTGAATGAGAGCCAGGAGCCAGGACCCGTGCCCGGCACATTCAACGTCGTCAGCCTCTTAACCTTAACACCCTCGAGCCGGGTGGATGGCAGAAATGTCACCTGCACAGTGGAGCACGAGACCTTCGAGAAGCCCGACCTGCTGCCTGTGACCCTCAGTGTGCGCTGTGAGTGTGCCCGCGTGTGAGCGAGCATGGGAACCACTGCCCAAGAGCAACGTGCTTCTTCATTAAGTAGGCCAGCTTCTTAGGCCGCAGTCCACGCTGCTGCCCCGGTGGTCTGCCCTGACCCCCCGGCCGCTGTCCACACTGACACGCACCCCGTGTGCACCGGCTCCTGGAGCACAGTCTGCCTCCAGCTCCCTTGTCCACTGTGTACACTGCCTCGCCCTAGTCTACACTGGCTCCTCTAGCCCACACACAGCACTGCCCCTGTTGTCCCCGGTCACCTGGGCCACCGGCTCTGGGGAGCTGTGTTCCCATTACCCCAGACTCCTCACAGGCCTCTCCATCTGGGGCTGTTCCCGAAACCTGCTGAGGCTTTTTCCTGTTCTGGCATGAATCTCGCAGGTCTTCAGTCCCCTCTGAAGGCTCCCTGTCTCTGAGTTTGCATGTCTGTTTCACCCAGACCCCCCTGAGGTCTCCATCTCCGGCTATGATGACGACTGGTACCTCGGCCGCAGTGAAGCCGTCCTGAACTGTGACGTCCGCAGCAACCCGGAGCCCAAAGAATATGTCTGGAACACGTGAGTCCTGGACAGATCCAGACTCGGGGGTCTGAGGGAGGAGAAGATGCAGGAGAGTATAAAGAAAAGTCAACTAGGGCCCTGGCTGGTGTGGCTCAGCAGATTGAGTGCTGGCCTGTGAATCAAAGGGTTGCGGGTTCAATTCCCAGTCAGGGCACATGCCTGGGTTGTGGGCAGGGTCTCCGGTTGGGGGCACGCGAGAGGCAACCACACATTGATGTTTCTCTCCCTCTCTTCCTCCCTCCCTTCCTCTCTCTCTACATATAAATAAATAAAATCTTTAAAAAAGAAAAAAGTCAACTTGGGACCCTGAGAAATTTTCTGAATGGCATGCTCAGAGTTTATGAGGGACTTAGTTCGGGTTCACTGACACACCTGCTCTTTTTTTCTTCTTCTTCTTCTTCAGGGTTTCACTATTTTTTTCATTTATTTTTTTATTTTTAGAGAGAGAGACAGGTAGGGACAAAGAGAGGGAGAGAAACATCGATGTGTGAGAGAACCATCTATCAGTTGCCTCTCAAACCCACAACCTAAGCATGCACCCTGGCCAGGAATTGAACCAGCGACCTTTCGCTTTGCGGGACAAGGCTCAACCAACTGAGCCACATCAGTCAGGGCTACCCCTGCTCTTTACGGCCTGCCCGCTCTGTGCCCAGTACTTAAATCATCCCGTGGGATCCTCGAATTCTAGCGCGTCCCCAGGTCAAAGATCAGCTGGGCCCCAACAGGTGCCATCCTTTGCCCAGGTCACACAGCCATGAGGACACAGAGGCACCTCCAATGGCTACCTGACTCCAAACTCAGTCCTCTAGCTTCTGGGCTGTGCCACCTCCCCGGCCACCTCGTGCGGCCTGTGCAGTCCCCTCTGAGGGAGCAAACACTGTCCCCACTGTCTGGATGAGCACACGGAGGCTCAGGGCAGACAGAAGTTACCCTTGAATTCATACCAGCGCTGGCGTTAAGGGTGGCGGCAGCAAAAGGCAAAGGGGAAAACTGCATGACATAATTTCCATTGGGCTTTTTTCCTTAATACAAAAATAACACAATGCCATTGTGGAAACTTTAGACAATTGTGACTGAAAAAAGAATATTGCATCTACAGTGGAAGGTACCTGGCCACTTCCAGAAATATCCACTGTCGCCTCTCATCCCGACCCTTCCTGTCTTTTTTCCTGTACGTCTCTAAACAAAAACTGCCGTGGATGCATTTTAACATATTCTTCCACCTCATGAACCCCTTTCCACATCAAAGCACATAGATCCACAACCCTGTCTCTACAGAATTTTATGAGGAAAATTTTCCTTCCTTTTTTTTAAAGATTTTATTTATTTATTTTTAGAGAGGGGAAGGGAGGGTGAAAGACAAAGAGAGAAACATCAGTGCGTGGTTGCCTCTCATGTGCCCCCCCTACTGGGGACCTGGTCTACAACCCAGGCATGTGTCCTGCCTGGGAATTGAACCAGCGACCCTTTGGTTTGCAGGCCGGCACTCAATCCTCTGAGCCACACCAGCCAGGGCTTTGTGAGGATGATTTTCAAACATACAGAGAAATTGTGAGAATTTCCCAGTGAACATTCAAAAACCCACCACGTGGCTTCTTCCGCTAACATTTCACTACGTCTGTTGTTTTGTCACGTTCTGCCCATCAGTCCATCCCTCTCTCCATCGTCCGTCAGTCCTTATCTTATACGCGTGTCAAAATGCCCTGAGCCCCTTTTTAATGCTGCTGGGCTCTCCTCTGGGTGTGTGACATGGATGATTTCTGCAGACGCCCACATCTCCACGCTTATCTCTCCCCTGTCCACTAAGCCCGTGTTTCTCGGCTGTTCCCCGTGTGCTGGGTGCTATTTCCTGGCACACCTGGGTAGATGAAGTAGGCCAGATTCCCTTTGCTCCCAGAGCTTCCTTTCCAGTGGGGAGAGAAATAATCAGATGATAGTGCAGTAAACTACGTAACACCATGGAAAACAGGAAGCAGAGAAGGGGCATGAGGAGGGGACCCTGCAGTCGAAGTAGGGTGGCCAAGGAAGGTGTTGCTAAGGTGACAGGTGAGCAGAGGCCTGAGGGAGGTGAGGGTGAGCTCTGCCGCCGGTACCTGGGGAAACAGCATTCCAGGTAGAGGGAACAGCGTATGCAAAGACTCTGAGGTGGGAGCATAGCTGGATTGTTCGAGAATCAGCTAGGGGAGAGGAGCAGATAATGTGGTCAGTGGTATGGGTGTTGGCTGATGTGGGGCCTGTGGCTGTGGTAAGGACTTTGGATTTACTCCGAGTGAAGCAGGGGCCTTGGGAGGGTTACAAGCTGCCTTAGTGTGAACGAGATCATGCAGGCTGCTGAGCGAGGGACAGACTGGAGTGGGGGGCAGGAGTGGAAGCAGGGAGCCCAGTGGGAAGGTGGCCACAGCAGCCCAGGTGGGGAGGGCATCAAACCAGGGTGGTGGCAGGAGAGGCTTTAAGGAGTGGCCGGACTCTGGATGCATTTTGAAGGTGGGGCGGGCAGGAGCTGCTGATAGGCTGGATGTGGGCGTGAGAGAGGGAGTCGGGAGAGTCTCAGAGCTGTTCTCAACTTACACCCCAGATGGCAGGAGGGTGTTTGCACTCCTGGCATGCCGTCCAGGCTGCCCACAGAGGCCGCTTCCTTACCCAGCTGTCTCTCCCAGGACAACGGGTTCCCTGCCACACTCTGCCAACGCCCAGGGCTCCCAGCTCCTGTTCCATCCCGTGGATGAGTCCATCAACACGACTTTCATCTGCCGTGCCACCAATGCCCTAGGGACAGGGGAGGCAGAACAGACTGTCCTGGTCAGAGGTGAGGAGGCCCCTGGGTGAGGGAGTCCCTCAGCCCCAGGACCGCTCTCTGACTTCCATCCTCCCCCGCCCCTCCCAAAAGCACCAACAGGGTCAGCTTTACTTTCTGTGGGCCCATTGTCTGTCCCATTGTTCCCATTGCACAGTTGCCTGGGTACCCCGCTCTGTGAACCCAGGCTGGGGCCATCATATGGTGCCTCTTCCCCTGGCGTCCAGAAAGGCCTGTCCAAATGTGTTAGGCAGAACTCTTATCAGTTGCAGCTGATAGAAACACAACTCAAAGTAGTCCAAGCAAAAGGGGGACTTTATTAAAAATTACCTGCAGTTATAATTAAACCAGATGTTCCAGCTGTGTGATCCAGGAGCTTTTCTTTACCTCTCTTGTCTCTGTTTTTCTCTATGCTGGTTTTATTCTCAGGAAGATGCTCCACTCAGGGAGGCAAGATGGCCCTCAACAGCGACAGGCTGACATCCCAATAGTGTAACACTCCCAGGGCAAAAGATACACCACTTTCAGCAGCTCTAGCCAAAGTCCCAGGGCTGGCTCTCATTGGCTCAACTTAGGTCACAGCCACCCTATGAACCAATCACGGCAGCCAGAGAGAATGGAATGCTCTGATTGGCCAGGTCTAGGTCAAAGTCCCATCCTAGGAACCAGAGGGTGGGGTGGAGTCCACCTGAACCCTTTAGACTGAGGAGGAGGCAGAATGGTAACTTCTGAAAGAAATAAGGGATGATATTTGCAGGGCGGGTCATACCCCAAAAATCTCTGAACCTAAATCCCTGCTTCCTTCTTCTCTTCCAGGAGAACGTCCCAGGGATCAGTCCTCTGGGACCACCACCTGGGTTGTGGTCCTGGTCGTGGTCCTGATTGTGGTTGGTCTGGGGCCCCTGGCTGTTTTCCTGTGGCGCAGACACTCCCGTGAGTCCCCTCCTCTTTGACACATCCCCTGCCTATCTGCTATGAGTGAACGTCACCGCAGCCACCATGGCTGAGCACTAGTGTGCTCATCCTTCCCATGACAGCCTCTCTCTGAACCCTCTCCCTGACACCGCACGGTCCCACCATTTTACAAGCAGGGACACTCACATCAGGAAGTCCTGGTCATTGGATCGTAGATTTGTTTGACAAATATTCAGGGAGTCAGGGTAGATTCTGCAGGTCCTCGAAGGCCACAGTAAGGATTTTGGCTTTCAGTCCAGGTGACACAGAATGGATGGAGGACAGACTAGGATTTAACCACCCCCAGCTTTCCTCCACATGGCTCCTTCCGGCAAAGTCCTGTGGCTAATTTTTAAGATTTCGTTTATTTTTAGAGAGAGGGGAACGGAGTGAGAAAGAGAGGGAAAGAAAAACATCAATGTATAGTTGCCTCTTGCATGCCCCCTACTGGGGACCTAGCCTGCAACCCAGGCATGTGCCCAGACTGGGAATTAAACCAGCGACTCTTTGGTTCTCAGGCCAGTGCTCAATCCACTGAGCCACAACAGCCAGGGCTCCTCCGGCTAATTCTATAATCAAAAAAGCTACAGTTTGCCGAGCCCTTTCTACATGCCAGGCACTGTCTGGGAACAGCCCCCTTGAGTGCTCACAAAGCCCCAGCAAAGTGAGTGCTCCTGTGAGCCCCACTTCACAGAGCAGGAAAGGTCACCTGCCAACCAGCACAGAGCTTGAAAGACTGGAGTAGAAGGCAGTTCTCTTGGTTACAAAGATTGTTCCCTCAACTACTGAACAAAACTGCCTCCTTACATACCAGCCAGGGGGCCCCTCCTCCAGGAAGCCCTCCATGATCCTTCAGAATGATCCAATCATCTGCTCTGGGCTCCCTCACCCATGCCTTGCTGACTCTGGCACATCACTCTGTGGGCACTTATCTGTCTCTCCAGTGGACTGTGAGCCCCAGGAGGACAGAGCTAGAACTGCCCCAGTCACAGCTATGTCCCCAGCACCACCCGCCACCAGACCAGGCACAAAGGAGGCATTTGAGGAAGCATTTGCTGAATGTGTCTTCTGCAGAGCCAGACTGCCTGTGTCTGGGCCCTCTACCACTTTATCCATTGTGTCGCCATGGGCAAATGACTCCGTTTCCTCATCTGTGAAATGGGAGTAACTGTACCTGATAATCCAGATAAAGCAGTTAGCACAGCATTTGGCACATTGTAAGCCATGCACTGGGTACCTAAGCTCTGATTAGTACTGCTATTGTTGCTATAATTATTAGTGTAAACTCCATGAGAACAGGCCTCGTCGTCTGTTTTGTTCACAGTTATATCCCCAGCTCCCAGAATGCACCTGGCACAATGTAGACATTTACTATTTGCTAAATAAATCTCTGTCTGATGGGTGAGGACAGTGAGGCACAGAGAGGTTAAGTCATTTGCCCAAGGTCACACAGCTCCTAAAGGACAGAGCTGGGATTTGAACCCTTCCACCTGGTTCCAGAGCCATCCGCAAACAGTATTTATTTATGCTTAATAACTGGGGGAAGAACCTATCCCATTCCTGTTCTACAAATGTATAAACCACTCTGGAATGAGGCACCCCCATGTCAAGAGCAGAGCTGGCCCTAGCATTCAGTGCCCCTGCCACCCACCTGTGTCAACTTCCTGTGCTTCCCACACGGTCCTTCATCCCTGACGACTTCTCCTGTTTCTCCTGTTTCCCAGGTCGGAACCAACGCAGCCCCCCGGATAACAATGTAAGTGTGGTGGTGGAGCGCAGGGTGTGTGGGTAGGGTGGGGTGGGCGGTGGTCATTCCTGCATGACCACAGACTAACTGCTGTGGGCTTCCCCAAAGGGGGGACAGGCATGTCTGGGTGCCCACGGCCTTTCGAGGAAGCCAGCGTGTCCTCAGGCGCCGGGTCCTGGGTCTTTTCTGGAGATGCCCCGAGCGGCCAGCCATCCCCAGCCCTTCCTGCCAGGCAGAAGCCCCTGGAAGGTTTGCTGAGATGCAGGTTCCTGGAGCTCAGTCCCTGAGAGTCCAGTCTGCTGGGTCTGTGCTGGGACCTGGGATGTGCAGTGGCATCGGTGCCCCTTCGCTCGGGTCACCTTGCCCCTGAAGTGCTGCCCCGGCTCCCAGGGAGGGGAGGAGGGGGAGAGGCAGACCTACAGCTCCGCACAAGGGCTTCAGAGGGAAGACTTTCGTCTGGAAGGGCCCTGAGGCTAAAGTTTGAATGTCCCTCTTCTAGGAGGTCTATTTCGCTGTCAACTCTGAGGCCAGCTCTCCCCAGGACCTGCAGGCAGACGGCACAAGGTGACGGCTCCTGGACTGAATGGAGGGAGACTGCAGCTGGCGAGGATGAGGGCCTTGCAGCTGGACCCCACCGCCACGGGTGAAGTCTCTCTCCAAAGAAACAGACCGCCCTCTCTGTGCCAGGCCTCAAGATGCCCCCTCCGTGTTGCAAGGCAGCGGGCGGGTGTCTGTTCAGAGACCCCAGAGCCCCCTCAGATTCAGCGTGCTCACTAAGGACTCCCAGAACTCAGGGTCGGTGCCACACTCTGGGCCACGGTTCAGTGAGGTTCCTGTCAGCGATGTGATCAGTGGGAGGGCAAAGCCCGGGAGAGACCCCGCCCGCTCACCCGCTTGTCCGCTCCTGGGGGAGCCACACGACAGCTCTTCCTTCTCCCAGGAGCGACACGTGACAACATACAGGGTTCCATCAACTGGAAAACTCATCCCAGGCTCGGCTTCCAGAGTTTCCGCTGGGGGTCAGGCAGGTAGACGCGGCCGACCTTAGTCTCAAGCACCTCCCTAGGTCAAGCCAATGTGGTGGCCCGGGGCCACCATCAATCACACTACTAGCACCGCTGTCCTTGGGGAAACAAGGACTACTATCAGCCAGGACACTGCAAGAGCTTAGAGGTTATCTCCCGTGACAAAAGGTCAGCTCTCTGGGCAAAATCCATCTCTTCCTGCACTGCGGGGTCATGGGGTCACACTGGATGTTCCAACTGCCAGGGAATTTTGATGAGACTTCTTTTACCTTCGGCCTTGAGCTTCCGAATCTCCATGTCAGTTGAATTTCTGTGGCTCCAAGAAACAGCCGCTGATCCAAGTCCCCAGAAGAGGGCCAGAGGCTGGGACACAGCTGCCTGGGGCTGTCCAAGGAGCAGGAAGAACTGGTGGACGTGAACTTGGAGGTTATCGGCTCCTCGCACCCTCTTCAGGGGGTAGCATCTGTCGCCAGCTGGCTGGAGTTGACCGGACCCTGTGGCAGGGGTGCTGGTAACCCACGAAGGAAAGCAGATGTCGGTCCCAAAAGGTGGAGGAAGAGGTGCCGGGGGAGCCGCTGTGCCGGACACCTGCCCTCAGAGCAGGACAGATGCAGCCCGAGACCAGGAGGCAGAGCTGCTCATCCTGACATGTTCACTTTGAAACGGTCTGTGGTCGTCAGAATTCCTCTCAGAGTGACAGCTGTGTGCTGGGGAATATACCTCAGGGAGGTGAGACCTTGGACCAGGATGCTGAACTGGAGAGCGAGGCGGGACCTGCTCTGCCCGAGAAAATGGGAAGGATCTGGGACCTGCTCTGGGCAGAGACGGGAGAGTGCGGAACAGAGAAGGATGGGGAAGAGACAACCGGTGGGATGGTGAGGGGCTCAGGGGGCAGCCAGGCCAGTGGGACTCCGCAGTGTCAGACAAGGGGGAGACTGGCGGCCTTGCTGGAAACCCCTCGTGGGTCCGCAGTCCCCAGACAGCGGGCTGTCCCCATGTGGGATGGAACCCGAGAGATGGAAGCAACACCCTGAATCAAGAAGGTCACACGGTGGACACTTGTCCCCAGGGTTCTCAGACACCGTGCAGAGAGCTCGTCTGATTCCTATTTATTTATTTATTTATTTTTAGAAAGAGGGGGTGGGAGGGAGAAGGGAGAGAAACATGAAATGAGAAAGAAACGCAGACTGACGGAGCCTGCGATGGGGGGCGGCGGCGGGGGATCTAACCGGCCGCCTTTCCATTGGCAGGAGGATGCCCAACCAACTGGAGTCACACTGGCCGGGGCTGTCTTTTTAATTTTTTTAACTGGGTAACACGTAGATATCCGCAAATCTAAAATAAAAAAAAGTCAGGGATCCCCTCTGAGTTAACTTGTGCGTAGGGCAAAGGAAGAGTCCGGCTTCCTTCTTCTGCAGGGGGATGTCCAGTTTTGCACAACACTTGAATGTCACCAGTGCCGTGAAATTATACACTTAAAAGTGGCTAAAGTGGCAGCTTTTTTGTCATCTCTATTTCCCCCACAATTTTTAAAACTGTTTCATGGAACGCATCGAAATCATTAAATTGCACGCTTTAGGTGCAGGGATTCTATTACCACAAACTTAGTGGCTTGAAAAACACAAAATGATTCTCTGAAAGTTCTGGAAGTCCGAAGTCCCAAATGGGTCTCACCGAGCTAAAATCAAGCCGTGGGCAGCTGGCTCCTCCCTGAGGACGGAGCCCTGCCCTGGCCTTTCCCACTTCGGAGGCCACTGCGTGCCTGGGCGTACAGCCCACGAGCACAGCCTTTCCCCAACTCTCCCAGGTCAGGGAGAGGACGCTGCCTCCCTCTCCTCTACAAGGGCCCTGTGAGTTCTCCGGGCCCATCCAGCTCATCCAGGATAAGCTCCCCACACAAGGCCCTTCACGCCATCACATCCGCAAAGTCTGCTGCTTTAAGAGAGCATGTTGGGAGGTTCGTGGGATTGAGACCCAGGTGACTTTGGGGGCGCATCATTCTATTTGCCACCCCGACCCAGGGCCCCTGTCCCACTGCAGATGAGCATGGCGCCACCTCCTGGTGAGTTTAGACACACAACGGTGTGCGCCGTTCTGCGCCCGCCAGTAACATCTCACACTCCGCCCAGCGCCTCGGTTCTGTCACTGAAGGCTCCTGAAAGGTCAGAGGACGTCTTTCAGCCCTTTCATAGCCTCACGTGGACTTTTTCTACCAGGCCCCTGGGGATGGGCGTTTGTGTGGTTTCTGCCCTTTTACAACTACAGCGTCGTAGTGACTGTCACTTAGCCTGGGTGTGGGGGCACACTCTGGAGGTGCAGTTGCTGAGTCGAAGAAGACGGCCCTTGTCGCGGTAGATTTTTACAGACGGTGTCCCGCGGGAGTGGAACTGAGTGATCTCTGTTTCCACCAGCAGTGGATGTGATGGCCTGTGTTTTGTGGGCCCCATAGCACCGGGGGGCCCCAGAATTTGGGTTTAGGTGTTGTACGGCTTCACATAAGACTGAGAAAACCACAAGTATCCATATCAGAGGATGGAAGGGAGAGGGCGCGGTGCAGGTCACCGAGAGGCTGGAACAGCACCCCCACCCCTGCACTGTTCTGCACGGAGTGAGTGGGGGCGGGGTCTGAGCAGTCATTAACCCACTTCAAGTTGCCGTGAGGTCCCAGGAGCCTCTGCACTGAGGATTGCTCTAAGTGAGGATGCCTGTGCTACCGAAATCTAACTTACTAAAAAACAACGTTGCCCCAGCCAGAGTGACTCAGTCGGTTGGAGCGTCGTTCCACAACCTTTTGGCCACGGGTTCGGTTCCCAGTCAGGGGGTATACCTAGGTTGCGAGTCTGATCCCCGGTCTGCACGTGAATGGGAGGCAACCAATTGGTATTTTTTCCTCTCCCTCCCTCCCTTCCTCTGTCTCTACAAAGCAGTGAAAAAGTGTCCTCAGGTGAATATTAAGTAAATTAAAAAACCAATGAGGTGACCCAAGAATTCCACTGCTAGGTAGATACCCAAAATGATCCAACACCCAAATAAACTGGTGTACGAAAACACTCAGAGCAGCACTCTGCACCAGTCAAACATAGAGGCAGCCCACGGGGATCAGTGGCTCCGCGGACGAGCAACATATGCTCCGGCCACACAACGCGACACTGTCCAACCATCAGAAAGAAGGAAACACCGACCCACACCGCAACACGGGCGAGCCTCGGGAACAGCACGCAGAATGAGAGAAGCCAGACACGAAAGGCCACATATCGTGGCATCCCGTCTACATGAAATGTCCAATACAGGCAAATCCGCAGAGACAGGAAGGAGATCGGAGGTTGCCAGGGCCTGGGGGAGGGGGACGGGGCAGCTACATGGGCGCGAGGTTTCCTTTGGGCGAGATGAACGGTGCCGTGGAAACAGACGGTGGGGGCGGGGCACAGCACTGTGAACGTGCTACGAGCCACTCCACTGTGTGCTGTAAAGTGGCTGAAATTCTAAGTTTGGTACATGTTTCACCACAATAAAAAAAAAAAAAAACTTAAAGTTCTTACAGAAAATGTTTTTTTTCATTTCCTCACTCTTACTGGCAGAATTTGCAGAACCCAACTACATTCATGATGGGAAGGATGGGTGCATTGTGGAAGAACAGATAATATTCTAACTGGTAAAGAAAACTATTGTCCAATGACACTTATTAATGCATGATAAGGCAGACTTCATCCAAGGGGGGCATGGGGACCACCATAAGGGGAGGCTGCGGGGAGATCGGACTCAACTCCAAGTGCGACAGGCCTGTGGGAGTGTGTGGCCCAGGAGCAGGCGGGGATCAGTGGATGGGAACCGCTGAGAGGAAACATCCAGGGTGAGGAAGGGTTCTGGGTAAACCCACCTGACAGGATCTGGCTGAAGGCAGGCCAGGGCGATCAGACGTCCCCTGGGGAAGGGGGAAGGTGAGGATGCCCTGGGCCCTTTTCTAACTCTGCTCTCATATCAAGGGTGGGAAGTTCCAGTTAAACTGATTTAGGGGGGTTCTTGCTAAAATCTGGATAATGCAGAGATGAACACAGGAGTCCAAACGCCAGAGCAGAGTTAGAAAAGGGTCCAGGAGACCCTGAGTAGAGATCAGTCAGTCAGAGGCTATAAAAATGTTACCAGGCCCTGGCAGGTACGGCTCACTGGATTGAGCACAGGCTGTGAACCAAAGAGTCACCAGTTTGATTCCCAGTCAGGGCACATGCCTGGGTTGTGGGCCAGGTCTCCAGTAGCGGGTGCACGGGAGGCAACCACACATTGATGTTTCTCTCCCTCTCTTTCTCCTTCCCTTCCCCTCTCTCCAAAAATAAATAAATAAATAAAATCTTTTTTAAAAATGTGATGATCAGTATGACCAGGCTGGGATTAAAAAAAAGACACCAGATTGTCTGGTTCCACCCCAGGCACCATGTGTGGAGTTCGGCTCTGCGTCTCTGCTATTCGTTGTTTCCCTCCACTTACTGGCATCGTCCTCGGGCTGGTGCCAACATGGCTTCTGCATTCCGGGTATCACAGCCAGATCTGGACCCGGAGAGGCAGCCCACCCCATCCTGGGTGAACTTCCCCAGGAGCCTCCCCTTAGATCTCATTGGGCTGGTACTGCCCACCATTCAACCAACCCCTGGCCAGAAGCTTGGGACAGCTTGGGAGGCTTGAACCAATCAGGATCTGCCCTCTGGAGCTAGGGAGAAAGGGGGATAAAGGGTACGGGAGAGGAGATAGAAGCCTGGACATCAGGTATTAGCAGCAACTCTCCCTCCCTCTCTCTCTCTCTCTCTCTCTCTCTCTCCCTCCCTCCCTCTCTCTGAATTTTACTCTCTTCTTTTTGAGTCTCTACCATCTAAATTTCTGTAACAAACCAACTCCTTTTTAATACATGCAAATGGAATCAAAGTTATTATTGAGAGAGAGATTCAGCAACTGGAAAATCCAGAGTAACTGGCTATATGCACTGCCTGGCATTGCTCACAATGGCAATAGCACCGCATTGGACACCGTGGTTGTTCGGAAACCGGGACACCCCAAGGCCACATCGCCCTCCAGGTGGTTCAGAGTCGAGATTTCTCCCTCACTCCAACCTGGGGACTCTGAAAGACGCCATCACCTCCCACAATCTGATGTGTGCCCAGGACACACACACACACACACACACACACACACACACCCCAACTTGGTGTTCTCTCACCCTGCAGACCCGGAAATTTCACCCAGCACTGTCCCATATTCCACCCCCTCCCCCACCCCAGACGAGCGCTGTTCGTGGCAACCTTCTGCAATGATGGTGGAAACGTTCTAGGTCAAGGGTCTCCAGCCACCGGGCCCCAGACAGGTAACGGTCTGTGGCCTGTCAGGAACCGGGCTCCACAGCACGAGGTGAGTGGTGGGCCAGTGATCAAAGCTCCGTCCCACCCCCTGCAAACCCCGGCCGGTGGAAAAATCATCTTCCACAAAAACCATCAACCACAAAAACAGTTGCTGGTGTCAAAAAGGTTGGGGACTGCTGTTCTACATCTGTCTAATGTCATAGCCACAAGTCACGAGGGGCTATTGGGCACTTGAAAGTGGCTGGTTTGGGGGAACTAACTTTTTTAAGGCATTAAACTTTAATTAGTTTAAATGTATATTTCAACAGAGTAACCAGCTAGTTACTCATATATAGCTAGTGGCTACAGTATTGGCACAACCCTGGACCCCCCATCACCCAGACTCTGTCCCGACAGAGCTCAAAACTGTAAGCGACCCCTCCCACTTCTCTAGCCACATACGCCCACCAGTCCAGGATTCTGCAGCTTCCTCAAAGCATCTCCATGGCGTGTAGCCTTGTGCTTCTGCTTGCTTGTGCCGTTTACACTGACCTCACCCCACCTGGTACACCTCACCCCACCCACCTGGTACACCTCACCCCACCCCACCCAATTATCTGCCTCATTCCTACTCCTACTCCAAATCTCAGCTGTCCCCTCCTCCAGGAAGCCCTTCCTGCCCGTCAAGCTGAGTGAAGCATCCCCTTGGGCTCTCCCAACCCCCTGGCTCCCCCATGCCAGCCCTGATCACTCTGGACCATCATTATCTGGAGGTGGGTCTGTCCCACTGTGGACCAAGAGCAGGGCAGGAGCTGTCCTAATAGTCACTGTGTCTCTGGCACTGCCCGGCGTGGGGTTGGGCATGTGTCAGTTGGAATGAATGAATGAATGAATGAATGAATGAATGAATGATTTTGAAAAACCATGCGAAGAGTTTTAGAGTAAGCCAGCCATAGGTCACATCCCATCTGCCCCTTCTGGTGGGCTCACCTGTCTCTCTCCCCCTCCCCTCAGCTTCCTCATCTCTGAAACGGGCACCGCCGTGCATGGTGGGTGTCGGACAAGGTAGTGCGTGCTGGGCCAGGCACAGGTGGGGCACGTTGCTCAGCCAGGAGCCACTGTGACTGCTGTTGCAACTGACAGTCAGCTGAGTGGTGAGAAGAGATGGAAGCAGGTCAAGGGAGGAGTGCTGGGAAGCTCCGGGAAGTCCCCCCCGCCACCCAGGGAAACTGGTTGGACCAGTGTCTGCACATTCATTCCAGGGAGCACAGGTGAAGTCTCCGGAGCCTGTGGAAAGGGGGTGCCGGGGCTCGGCCAGCCTCTGCCATGTCTCATAGGCACCCCCGGGATCCTCACTGAGCAGGCCCACTGCAGACAGCCAGGGCGTGGCCCTCCGGCCCTCTCAGTGTCCAGTGGGTGGACCCTTGGCATCTCCACAGGACGTCAGGATGGAGATTCCCATGGGGACCTGGTGCCGCTTCTCCAAGGGCCTCCTGCTCTCAGGTAAGGAGGAAGTGTGCCCCCAGCGCCTAGGCAAGAAGGTGGGACTCAACCCAGGGGTTGAGGTTTCCCTCTGGAAGAGGGAGGATTGTCAGGGAAGTTGAAATTATTAGAGTAAAATGAAAGGGAGAGCAGCAGAGGTACAAACCCATCACCATTTTACCTATGGAATTTTCTAGAATGTTAGGACCATGAGGGCAGGAATTTATCTGTATTCAGTCCCCTGCTGTATCTCCAGTGCCTAGAAACCTAGGGAATTTTACATATATCATATATAATTGATGTGGTAGCATAAATAATATATATGCCTATAAGTATTGGTTAGATGAATGAATTAATGAATTCAGAGGCTCTGACTGCTTACAGGCAGGCCACACAGCATCTCAGGGCAGAAGAACCTTCTGGACCAATGGGATGGCAAACCTGTGGCATGCATATCTGGATTTCCACTCCTGAACCCAGGGCAGACATCACTAATCAATCCCAGCACTATTTCCAATGAACAGCACTCAGAGTTCTAACCCCCAGATGAGGACTTAGAGGGCAGAGAATGCTGTGATCCCTGCCCAACACACTTCTGACCTCAGGCCTCCCTTTAATTCCCAACAGCCTCAGTCCTGGCCCTCTGGACCCTCCAAGGCTCCTGGGCAGCCCTCTACATCCAAAAGATTCCAGAAAAACCTCAAAAGAACCAGGACCTCTTCCTGTCTGTCCAGGGCCTCCCAGACACCTTCCAAGACATTGTGTGGTACCACGGGGAAGAGGCAGATGGTGGCACAAGGCTGTTCTCCTACATCCCTGACCTACAGCGACCCCAGAGAGATGGCAACGCCATGAAACAACGAGACATCGTCGGCTTCCGCAATGGCTCCATGCTGTTGCGTCGTGCCCAGCCCAGCGACAGTGGCACCTACCAGGTAGAGGTCACCATCAACCCTTCCTGGACTATGCGGGCCACGACTGAGGTCCAGGTGGCTGGTGAGTGCTGGGTGATGGGGGAGGAAGTGAGAAGTTAATGCTCACTTAGCGGCTACAATGTGCCCAGCCCTGTGTAAATACTACTTCTCTTCAACACACATTGATTGAGCGCTTACTGTGTACCAGGCCCTGAAGATATTTGCTCCCCACATGCATTAACAAATAAAACATCTATAGAGTGCCCGACAGGGAGCCAGAGCTGGAGAATGGACTGTTTGACTGACTCTTCACGTGCAGTCATTAATGAAACATTTATTGAGCACCTAGTGTTTGCCGGGTCTAGAGGAAGACCATGCAGTCATTAATGAGACAGTTACTGAGCACCTAGTGTTTGCCGGGTCTAGAGAGAGACGCTGTATCACACGATCCTCGTGTTCATACTCAAGTGTTTTTTTGGTGAATCCACTGTGAGCAAAGCTCTAGAGATGGGGCAGCGGACAACAGCAAAAGCTAACATTTCATGGACACTTGCTGTGGGACAGGTACTGTTGTGAACATGCACTAGGCGGGGGTGTCCAAACTCTTGGCGTCTCTGGGCCACACTGGAAGAAGAGTTGTCTTGGGCCACACGTGAAATACATGGAGAAAAGTAATCACAAAAAAGCAAACAAACAAACTGATAGTGTTTTAAGTAGATTTATAATTTTGTGTTGGGCTGCATTCATCGCCACCCTGGACCGCGTGTGGCCTCCGGGCCGTGGGTCAGACATGCCTGCTAGCGCCACAGCC